GACGATTTTCAGTATCTAGTATACGGAAATATTTACGAATTTATTATACTATTTTTCTACATTTATTATACGTTTTTTAAATGTATTATTTCTGTATATTTTCCTTATACATATTATTTATAAGGATACTGATTAGACGTAAAAATCCAACCAAAAATAACGTATATAATATACTAATTTGACATATAAAATTTAACAAAAATAACGTATACATTATACTGATTAGACGTATAAATTCAGTATTTTTTTGCATACGGAAAAATATGATTTTCAGTATCTAGTATATGAAAATATTTACGAATTTATTATACTGTTTTTCTATATTTATTATACATTTTTTAAACTATTATTTCTATATACTTTCCTTATACATATTATTTATAAGGTATCAGTACCTAATAATAACGCGGACATCAAATCATTGGAAGATAAGAAAATGGATTCTTTCTTAGATAAAGTGGATAAGAAAAAGATTAGTAATGAGATTAGACAGAGAAACAGGAAAAAGAAATTATTGTGTGAATCGTCTACTAAGGACTTAAGTGTCTCAAAGGGACCCGCCACTTCTGTAGACAAAGAATCTTGATCATATAAAAAGAAAGAAGTGAAAATATTATGCAGGATTTATTTAATTTTACCATAGATGGGTTTGAGAAAAATCACATGATGGAAATTTCGCTGATGGGCTGTGAGAAAAATAATTTCTAAGAAAAAATAGAGTCACAGGAGGGCCTAGCAGAGTTATCAAGTTCAGACATATTACAAAATATAAACCGCTTATATAAAAATGTATGTATTGCAAAAAATGAAAAGGTAAAAGCTAATTAAGTAGAAATTTTGTGCTAGAGAAATTTTATTATAGGACTGGATAATCGTATAGATGAAATTATGATTAAAAAAAGGTGGATATGAAAAAGGTCAAAGGACTGATTTATGATTTATTCTTGCATATAATCCTGACACTAAACGAAAAACTTTATATTAGCGCATCAGTAGAACCAGGAAGATTTATGAGTTTACTGAAAAAATAGGAATTAATAAAATCAAATTTATCAAAACGCATATTACAAATTCCATTGCAGAATTATCTAATAGTCAAATTCAAACTATTGTTAATTATTTCTCCAAGAATCTAAACAATAAATTACCAGATGATCAGGAAGACTCTATTATTGATTCTGAAAAAGAGATTTCGGATGATCAGACTAATGCATTGGAGGCAGTTTCAGTTGAGATAAGCGAATCAACCTTACCTATTCCTATATCTTATGACTTTAATTCTTTAGGCTCTATTAATGCAGATAATGACAACTCCAATTCAATCAATGATGACTTCGATTCTGATGATTCTGAAGAGAAGATATCAGATAATTCAGATGATGATGGATATAATGAATATGCTGGATATAATGAATATATTAAATGTAATAGAGGTTATTATTATCATGACAGAAAATACAAAAGAAAAACCTTTCCAATAATGAGTCCTATTATCTCACCGGTAACCGTTTAAATGAATTTTAAAGTGGATTACATACTCATATAGACTGAATTATTGCATATATTTGTTTCTTTTTTTTCAACCACGTGAGTGGCTTAGATACTTATAATACGTTACTGATCTATATTTCTCCGCAGTCGCATGTAGTAGAGAATCTGCCAAAAGCAATATTTTTGCGTTATTATACTTATGAACTTTCAGCAGAGTTCTAATATGTTCTATCTTATTCATTATGGTTTCTCAAAATCAAATCAAATCAAATATTAAAGCAATTTGTATTTGATTTGAATTTTTTCAAATCAAATCAAATCAAATTAATTCAAATCAAATATTTGATCGAATCGAATCAAATCAAATTAAATTAAATCAAATCAAATCAAATTCAAATCAAATCAAATCAAATCAAATCAAAAAATTTTTTTAATTATTATAATAATATATTAAAATAAAGTTATTCCAAAGTTTTAATTAAGAAAATCATTAGTAATTGCACTAAAAAATTTCAAAGATAGCTTTTACAAAGTAAGTTTAGTAACAAGTGCATTTTTATTAAGAAAAACATAGTAAAAAATGCCTTCGCGGCTTCAGAAATGCTTTTTTATTAAGTAAAATATAGTAGAAAATGCTTCTGCGACTTCAAAAATGCTTTTTTTACTAAGTAAAACATAGTAAAAAATTCCTCCACAGCTTCAAAAATGCTTTTTTACTATGTTTTTCTTAGTTAATACTATCTCTGGATAGTTTTATTATTAATTTAAATCAAATCAAATATTTGAATAGTTGATTTGAATTTGATTGAATCAAATCAAAGATTAATTTGGATTTGATCATATAAATGATTCTTTGATTTGAATTTGATCGAATCGAATCAAATATAAATTTGTATTTGATTTTCAAATCAAATATTCAAATATCAAATCAAATTGTGAAACCCTATTACTCATTACGCAGTTCTGAATTACTAATAAAAAAAAACACATTCTGATTTACATGCAGCTCATAAGACAGGACATTGTTAAAATAAATTCAAAAATGAAAATAAAACTGATTAGAATTTATGATTTACAGACCCTCAGATAAATGGTAACTTTTTATTATCCTACTGACGTTAGCGTATTTAAATTATGTGTATGGCTAATCATACTGTTTTTAAATAGGAATTAGTGATACATACCTCCTAACATGTGCAATTCATTATCTACAAATCTCGATCCATAATGAGCAAATATTTCATTTTATATTTCTTTTTTGTGATTACAATTGAAATAGGGGGTGGGCAATAGTATTCATTCTACAAGAAATAAACGGTAAATTTTGTTATTATAAGATGAACTCAAGACATTATAATTGCTTTAAATAGAAAAATTGGTTAATATTATTTTACAATTTGGGGTTGACACTTTGATCTTTCTCGATTAAGATCTATCTTTAGCCAAAGGGGTCAAGACAATCAAAACCAACTTTCATATGAATGATGTTTTTTTTATTAGGCTCAATAATTGACATTTTTTTGGCATATAATAATAGGTTTGTTGTGGAAAAGAATGAAATTGAAAATTTGAATTATAAATACGTGGCTTTTATTAATTATGGATAATCCTTATAGAGATATAAAGGACATTAAACTCATTTGTTATCTCATTCGAGACTTTGAAGAAATTTTTGAATGTTTCAATCTCGCTGAGAAATTTGATATTAAAATTAACTCTAGTGATTATGTTGATTCTCTTAAAGATAAAATCTATGAAGTCATTAAGCAGAAAAATAATATTTTCTTTGATATTAAGGCTGATGACTTAATGTTATGAAAGGTACAAATTCCTAATGATGATGAAAACAGATTTTCAAGTCTTGAATTATAAGAAGGTGAAGAGAGATATGCAAAGAAACTCAGAAAAATTATTAGCAATTATTGGAATGATGAGAAACTTCCAAAAGTAGGATATATTCATATTATTGTCGATTTGCCATTGATGAGAGCAAATTAACAAATGGTAAATTTGGCAATTAATCGAGATAGGTCTAGTTAATCTTAGCAATGTATTTCTTTATTAAAATATGATCATAATTTTAACACGCTCTATATATGAAAAAATGACCAAAATTACTCTTCACAGAGTCATTAGAAGTCTAGGTACTTGTGGCTTTTTCAAGATAGAAATAGAAAAAAATGAACATATTGTTGATCTTAAGGAGATCATTATGAAAAAATATTATAAGTCCTTTTCGGATAATAATTTCTATGGTATTAGGTTATGGAAAGTGAAAGTATCCTTTAAAATAAAGCAATATTTGATAATCTCAAAAATAATAAAGAGGCCAGTGCTGTTAGGATAATATTAAATGGTGAGGAGGAGCAATATGAATCGGAAAAGATTGAAAATACGTTTGGAAACCCACCTAAAAACTATTACAATTTGTCATTAAAGGTACATGTATTTGGTATCTAAAAGACAATGCTATTATATTTATAATAGAATATTAATATTTCTTTTTTGATTGATAACAATTTAGATTATTTCTACAAATGTAAGAGAGGCCTTGATAGATCATTTAAATTACATGAAATTTCTGATTTTCATATAAACAACGTAAACAATGAGAATGCAGGTGAAAATGGACCTGAATATAGAAACGAGGATGAAGGAGATTCCTCACCAACTGAATTTAAATTTGTGGGAAATTTAAAAAATATTCACAAATACATTGATATGGATGAATCTGATTATAATAATGTAATTGGTAAATATTTATAAGACTAAAATCCTGAACTTTGTATTTTATTTTGCATGGTAGCTCACGTTATATCTGATATTGTAATAAAAAAACTTTTTATTGCTATAAAAGTTGATTATTTTTTCACATGAGTAATTGGGTAATATTTAATCTTACATTCGAGTTAAAAATCACATGATCTTATAGAATAATGAATCTTTTGATTTATGATAATAAAGAAGCTTTTCGCATATGTAACACTTGCAGTATATACATTACGCGTAGTAATCATATCACACATGTCTATTTTTAAAGGCAGGGTCACAATACGATCGATCTATTAATAAAACTGGCCAAGAAAAAGATGTTATATTCATCATACAAAGCGCCTTATGAGTTATGGCGCTCGAATGTTCTGACATATATGTTCATTACGCAACTTTAAAAAAACTGCCTCTTGAATTTGTATATTATACATGCCTATCATAATGATTAAATTTGTAAATCAGATCTCAGAATGGATGTATTATCCTGTTGACGTTAGCCCATCCAATATTATGCGTATAGCGCATTTTGAGTAATTACTACTATGATGATGTGATCATACAAAGCATATTCCAAAAGCTCTATCGATTTTAGATCTATTGTAAATTATATTAAAAGGTGTTTATCCCAGTTAGTAAATCTTTTTATCTGCCTTGTGCAAATATAAGCAAAAATCCTTTTTTCCTTCTAGATTCGGAAAAAAGAAACAGATAATAACTATATATTACTCTGCAACTCTAAGTAAAAGATAACTTTTTTTCTTTCGCAGATCAAAGATCAAGGAGGAGCGAAAACTTCTAATAAAATTTCAAACCTACCACTATCAATATCATCGAAATCAACAATCAACGAACTCGTATATTCTGCAAAGTATAATAAAGTAGGTTGGTTTATTATTCGGGTTAGCTTCTTGAAACATGTCATCACAGTGCTAATCAATTTTTCCAACTCTACAGATGTCCATGAAAATTTCGTACATATTGCTCTTCTTGTTATATATCGGCATTTTGATATTTGCCGAGAAAATCTTTGACCATCACAATAGACGCAGTGAAATTACTCACATGAATTTCGTCACATGCAATGGCACAGCATCAAAAAATTTATGCATCTTCACGTACTGAATTCTAAAAACTTTACGCAGTGTCGTACTGGTGATAACGCAGAAAAAATTGAGCAATTATGTGAGAATGAATCGTGATGGTAAGTGAAAATCAGTATTGTATTATTTTTTTATCTCAGTGCTAATACTTCTGTAATTATACTATAGGTTCGAAATTTTTTAATCTCAGAGAAGTTCTCTTTTGAGAAATAATATTTTATAGTCTGCGTGTTGAGAGAGATATAGATGGAAAAAATTCTGTAAATATGGGTAGTAAAAGAGTGTGGTGGTGAGAATCTTGTAGCTAGTAGAGACAAATTAGCTATAGATATTTCCATAAATATGAGGGAGCAAAGAAATAGCTTGATGTTGGGACTCGCATCAAATGGCCTAGGATCTGCGTACTCCCTCCTTCTTTGATAGTATCATATGCTTCTCTTGTTTCTCTAGCATTTTCTGTTTCTTTATGTATCTGAAATTAATAAAGTTTCGTTTATTAGTTTTTATTTTTTTTCATTGTTCGTTAAAATCTTAAATAGTTGGGAATTGAGATAGCGGGTGGAAAATACTCACTGTGGAAATAGAGCCTTTTATTATGAGTACAGAACTCGATGAGAATATAAGGAATATTGAATGTATAACAAAGGAAAAAGTAGCTAGTGTTGAAGCGCATCCATCTGGTCGAGCACAGTCATTCACAGGTAGACTCCCATAGTATGATAATAACGTCTTTGCTATTCAGATGAATGAGCTCAGTTTTTTCCCAACCTTTAACCTAATACCTAGCAGACGCTTGTGCAGGGGAATCTCCCACAGATATACAAGCGAGTAAGCTCAGTTTTTTCTGCTTGAGTAAACTAGCTACTGTATGCTTTAATGAAAAAAATTCTTCTATATAATTTTCGTCATCTGATTTGTGGTATTGAGGCCAATGTGGTACAATCAAAATCTGATATCTTTTTTAAAGCGTACGGTAATAAGAAAATTAGGGAAATGCGTTACAAAAAATGAAATCACTCAAAATTCGTGAAGAATAAAAAAAATTCTTGATAGATGATGAAGATTCTCATCCGACGAAGTTCTTACGTGATACCATTACCACAGTAAAAATTCTGGCTTTCGTGATTATAAGCTACGATTAGAAGAAGCATTATAAGGCGACCCATATTCAAAAAGATTATCAAGTTTAAAAGGAAATTGGAGGTTGATGAGTATAGGAATGACTAGGAGAGCTATGAAAATAAGAAATGAATCCGAAAAGCTGATGTATATTATTTTTTTTATTTAAGAAATTGGGGCTAGTACTAACAAAGCAAACATTGAATAATAGAAAAAAGTAAAGAAAACAAAACTTCAAGCACATGTCATCTTCTATAATCAGTTAGATGAAAGACTTAAAGTTAATCAGAAAGAGATAAGTTATTTTATTAAGTTTGATTTACCTTTATGATAGATATAATGTTAATATTTTTCGCTGGTTTAGAAACGAACCAATAAAAATTCAACCGATGATGATACTATTATTCCTTATATGATCAGAAATGACACGCTATCTGATAATTACAGTTAAGCTCAGGTAACATCGTTCACATTGGAGACAGATATTTTAAGTGATGAAGAGAGGTACTGTAATTATTTACATTAACAACTACTAAGTAATAATTTTCACTATTGTTTAAATAGAATGGTCATACTTAAGATGCGATAAATCTGACATACTGATGCTGAAATTTCTAGCCTAGTATTTTACGACATTATAAATATGACGTCAAGTTCAAACAGCAATTTCATATGATTACTACCAAAAGATGTAATACGCGAGATAAGGCCAAGACCATTACCAACACCTCTCATGGACAATAAAGATGGAATGAAGGAATATTTAATTAATTTTATTAAGGTATCATTGGTGTTAAAGCCCGTATTGTAAGTTCCGTAGTTTATGCATATCATCAAATATGTTCTAAGAAGTCATTTTGTCTAACTTTCTTTACAATATAGGCGAGCAGATTTCGTGAATATGTGGACAAAAGTTATACAAAACAAGAATTAATAACACTACAAAATTTGTTTGTGACTATTTAAACTTCCTGTAAGGACATAAACTATTTTCATTAACTTTTCAACTTTCTTATACCTTACTAAGCTCTTTTCTTAGGGTAGAGTCGTTTGAAAGAAAAAATAACTTAGCAGATTTAAATCTTTCTGAATTCAGATATCAAGAGACGTTTCTTACGCTACTAATACATAGTCTATTCTAGGGGTTTCACTGGGAAATGAACATTTTTTTTTGTAAGTGTAGGAACAATACATGTTACAATCTTTGATCATATCTTTTAATGAAAATTTGTACGTTCAATTAGTGGAGAAAAATGTTTATTTGCCTCTTCAGAAGATAAAAATATGGAAAAAAAATGACGCGAAATACAGGACACCTGGACGAAAGATAGGTATTATTTGGACCATAAAACAAACGGACCTTGAATTTTCAATTTGCAAAGTAAGTGGACCACCAAACAAGCAAGATTATATGCACTTTTTCAAATATAAAATAAAGATCAGAAAGATGTTAAAAGTAATAATTAATCGAATCGTGAGAAAATATGGATGTAGAAACGTGAAATTATGTTCATTAAAAATTTATAGTTTACAGTTTTATTGTAAGTACCGCCAACTTCAGGAATTATTAACACTTTATGAGACTAACATATTCTAACTTTTTATAGATAATGAAGTGATTGTTTATGAAATAGCAGTACCATTCCGATGATTATATACTTTGAATGAAATTCTCTGATCAAAGCTTCCGACCAATGATGTTGAAATTGGACTGTTACCACGATCTATGCTGACATTAATCAAGATTAAGGTTTGTATTTGTTCTGTGCTAATCAATTAAAGTTTCTAAAATTAACTTTATTATATAACACTGTCATGTTATCAGGAGTTGCTTAAGAAGAGCTTAGACAATATAAAAGAATACATTATGGATGCATGCACTAGTACACCAGATGATGATAATACAAACCCATTTGTTACACACACTGATTCGACACCTAAATCAATAACGAAAAAAAAGGAGCTAATTTGACATCATGTTAAAATGCTTTAATCCTTATATAATGAACTTGTAAAAAGGCTCGCAAAAGAAAATAGGATTATATTATTATAATTAATAAAGTACTTTGTTTTATTACTTGGCTTTGCTACCTTTTGTGCATTATGAAGTTTTACCTATGCCAAACTTTTATCTTTTAATCATATGTTGTATATATACAGTATGATATGGCATGTGACGCATTAGAAAAATATTAATCTTTATGATGGGATTAGAGTCAAGTTGAGGTTGATATTGACTATGTAATTGCTAAAATTTTGAAAGCGGGCCAATGAAAACTTACTGCGCCAAATTTTACTCGGCTACTGAGATTTTAGATGAGCCACACTTGGCGAAGTTTTTCCATTATTATGATATCGTTTTCACAAATAAAATAATATATCTGGCAAAATAAAATTAATCTTTGCTATGCCAATCCATAAATCATTTCGTGATTTGAGTTATAGGGATCTAAGGAGATTCTCATGTAATACAAATTTTTTAGATCGTCTAATTCAGTGTTGGGAAAGTGGACAATTTTAGGTAGTTTTGGACAGGTTTTAGACATAATTTCATATGTCCAAACCCTTGTCCAAAACTAAAAAACATGTTCAAAACCCATCACTAATCTAATCTACATGCATGTGAATAAATACCGTATATGCACATCGCCTTTGGCTCCTATCTTAAATAAAAAATGAATCCGATATTTTATTATAATATACTTGATATAATATCTACTATAAATCATAAATTGCTATAAATTTTTTATACCTGTAAAATGGTTAGAACTAACTACTATTCTGGTTTAAATCCTGTAATAGTACGAATGCTAAACAATCTGCAATATAGCTATAGTAATAAAACACCAGAAATGTGGTGTTTTCATGTTTATTATCCATTTAAGACACTTCTTGAAAATAATCCAAAATACTTTTCCAAGAATGGATTTATTCATATGACTGAAAGGTTTTATAAAGATGGAGAATTTAAAGCTGGAAGGCGTTCATTTTATATTTATTGCACGGTATGTGACTTCTTAGTGTTATATACTAATAATTTTAATATTATAAATTATTTTTTAATTTTTACAAACATATTTCTTATAATTTTATTATAAATTTTTTTATTAAATCATATTATATATTATAGTAAAATTATTTATATTATAATTTTTAAAATATTAATGATAATTGTAATTTTAAGAATTAAATACAATATATTAAAATTTTTTAAAAATATATACATATTAAAATATCAAAAAACATGTATTTAAATATAAAAATTTTAAAAAACAAACTAATTTTGCAAAATTAAAGTAATTATTTTATGTATTATTATAATTATATAAATTAATTAATATAAATTTGAAATATTAAACTTAATAATTATGATTATTTATATAAAAATACTAAGAAAAGAAAATTGAGTAAAATCAAAATAATTATTTTATTTTATTTAATTTTAAATTGTAAAATACCTTTATATAAAAATTAATTTAAATTATAAATAGATTATTATTTTAAACAATTTAAAATAAAGTAATTACTTTAAATTGTTTTTTAATTTACTATAAGATTTTATGTTAATATGTGATTGAAATTTTTATTATTTTTGATTTAATAAAATAATTGAATTTAAATTATATAAATTTCTGAAAATAGTAATAAAATTAATAAAATATTATATATAATCCAAATATTTAAAATAAAATATTTATATAACTTTAAATGTTATTAATAAAAATCATTATATTATAATATTAAAAACAAATTATAATAAATTATAACTAAATAAACAAATATATATATAATTGTAATATATATAAATATAAATCTATATTTTTTAAATATAAAATCAATATCAAAAATATTTATTAGTTTAAAATAATTTCAAATTATGATTGTAAAATAAATTTAAATCAGAACATTCATTTGAAAATTTTCAAGTTATTGATCTGTAAGTTAAACTGATTTTGAAGATGTATAATAATTATAATTTCTTAATAAAAGTATAAAATTATATTAATTTCTTTAATAAATTTTATGATGAATTTATTAAGTAAAAAAAATAGTGACGTAATATTTTTTGGTATAAATTCAAAGGTAAACATTTCGTGCTTAATGAAATATAAATTTATCGAATATTCAATAATTGTTTAAAAAAAAAAAAATCTCCATTATTACAGGCAAACAAATAAGACCCTTTACAACCAACAACAGCAGTTCTTTCAAATCTAAATTAATAAATAATGTACACTTGGTAACACGACAAAACTTAACAAAGCGAATTATAAAAAAACCGGTTTTTATCTTTTTTTATCGATTAAAATCAATGTTCCATTGACATTATTATTTTTTTTTTTTTGCAACTATCAATCAAAATCAGGTTTTCAACAGAAAAAAAAGAGATAATGAATTGAACACAACAGTTGCATACATTCAAGCAAAGATATTCGCGGCAATTGATAGGAAAAGGTTTAGTGTAGGACAAATATAAATGCAAGCGCAAGACGTTGATTCAAAACTGATCCTCAAGTTGAGTTATTAGTGTATAGTTATATTGTTTTATTTATTTATAAATTGCGTGCAACATTTTATTTAATTGAAAGCTGTCGGAATGTTTTCAAGTTGCACCATGCAAACCGCCTACGAACAAACCCTATTGAATGTTTCGCAAAACCTTCTTTCTTTGGTAATATCTGGGGGACAATTATATAAAAGGGACTATTAAATTATCCCTTAATTCATGGAGACACATTCTAAACTAAAAAAACCTGAAAAAGTTGTCAGTTTTAAAATGTGAGACAAAGTTTCAAAAGAAATGAAATCTGGGGTAAACAAAAGAAAAGGGTGATGATCTACGTGTACAAAATTTTATCACAATTGATCATATTTGTAATGATTTTAATACCAATCGAGAAATTTATGACGATATTTTTCGATATACGGGGGGTTTTTAATTTCTTCTTCCATTGGGTTTTTCTTTGTTGAAAAAATTATTATTCTCTGATGAATTTGTGATAAATTTTTTTTTGCTATAATTGATCTAAATAAAAAAGGTTTAAAGTTTTCTGATAAGAATATTCTAAATAAAGCATAGTGCGAAAATTAAAAGCATATGATCTCAATTTCGTGTATCCTTTTTGTGGGGTGTTAAAAGTTACCATATGGTGGAAACGGATAAACTGTTCAGGAAAAGTCTTGTCAAATCTTGATTGGATTTTTTTTTTATTTTAAAAAATGAATTTTGTCATTTTAATTTATTTTTAAAATGTTGAATAATTAATTACCTGGATTGACATCATTCTTACAGCTGACTGAATATCTAAAAATAAAAAAAAAGAATGATACAATGAAATTCAATTTACAAAATGAAATCTTCGGAGAAATATCGATTATTGAGGGGTAAATCCTGAATGATTCTTTAATCGGAATACTATACAAATGGAACATCCAAAAAATTTGTTTTTTTCTTTTTGAATAGGGTATTCTTTGAACTTCATAAAATCGACAATCTCAAGATAATTCTTTGAAAGGAATGTGACCAATTGCGTATATATTTAGTATTCAAGGAATTGCTTAGATCTTCATCTCCGCATAAACAGCTGACAGGAATTTTTATTTTTTTTTAAGTTTACATGATGTTTTTATTCTATTGTTACTCTATAAACAATATTTCATTATCCTAACATTTATAATTCTCTTGGTAAATAATTAATTTGGAAAAAAAAGGTCAGTTGTATCTGGTGTTTTCATTCATTCCTTTATTACAACGCCCTTTGACACTGCCCCGTTACTAAAATATTCGTAATACAGATTATTTATTTAACCGCTCGGTTGTCAATAAAAAAAATAAATAAAACCGGTTTTAACCTGATTTTGCTGATAACGATGACGGTACCTTACATGACTCACTATATCGATTTAGTTAAATACATTATTAAACGGTACTGTGTCTGTATATTATCTGTACAAATCTGTACGGTATCATCCATATAGAAATTCCGATTATTATAAATATTAAGATTAGTGCAAAAGGTTTCGTGTCACAGAGTCACCGACTTGGAATTCTTGAAAGCTAGACCCCTTAATCTTATTCCTTATTTAGGTCCTTTCGTTTTTCGCCCATCGATAAAAAAAAAAAAAACTAGCTACACTACAATTCATCATTTAAAGAAAAAAAAAAAAAGTCCATAACGTTGTAAGCCTATGCCGAATTTTTGTTGACAATTTTTGACATTTGAAATGTCAAAAATTAAATGAGATACCGTTTAACGGAAATAAAAAAAAAAAATTTGAGAAAATAATAATAAAAAAAAGATCACCTGGAAAGAGACAAAAAAGAGGGATCAAAAAAAATTCATGTGGATATTTTTTGGACGCAAGTCGTAGATCAGAATTTAATAAATTACATGAGTTTCCGCATTCGTACAACTTGTCTTATTCCGTTTCTGTGTCATATGAAATAAACATTGCCGTTTTGGAGGGTATGACGTACTTCAATCATTTCTATTTTTGGGATGTCACTTCAGTGTCACCCGGAGTTGTGTGACAATCTGCCCAAAATAAAAGGAGACGACAGGTTCCGCCATCTGCATCATTTCAAACCAATGAATTTTTAACCATCCCCAATTCGACATTATTTTATCCCACCCCAACTTAAATCCCCCAATTCTTAAGACACCGTGCCACCTTCAAAAACCATCAGAAAAAAACCGGGTGAACAATACGCACTGCACAGTAACAATTTATTCCGCTTACCAGTACCGCCATACTACAGTAAACAGATAGTCGAAAACCGAAGAAAACCTCGAGCTCTTTACTTTGTTTTATTCTTTAACCGAAACAAATAAATGGCTAACAACAACAGTCTGAACACTTCTAACTCGCAACAAATTCAATACAATAGCATTGGTGTGCCCATCCAACCTCAACAAGGTCAACCGAGAGACAAAACACAACAGGTTCGTATTTTACTTGTTTTTTTTTTTTTTTTACCAATTCTAGACAACGAAACTCAAGCTTTTAAAGAAGGCTAGTGTTGGAAATACTCTGAGAGTGCTTGTGAGGCGACAAGTCGCGAAAAAAAATATAAAAATATTATGCAAAGTCGTCATTTCTTGTGTCTTTACGTGTCAAAAATTGAATATTGGTTCGTTATAAAAATTATCAAGTTAAGAAAGACAATACAACGTGTCGATTGAACTATAAAACTTTTTAGTATCGAATAAAGTATCGAAAAACCTTTTTTGGAACCCTTTTTTTTAACAAGGATCAAATTTTCTCGTACTTTTAGTCATCTTTGGAGTCAGAGAAAAGACAGAAAAAAGGCACACCGAAACGAAAGATGGAAAATGAACGAGAAAAACACAAAGCTGAACTAGAAAAATTCGAAAAGTCGGGGGTATGTATTGCCTTATATTTTTATGTCGAAGTGGAACGAAAAAATAAATGACTAATATATTTATAAACTTGATTTCTTTACATTATAAAGAATGAACTGAATCGTCTTATGAGCCAATATGGCACCAAAGCAAAAGCCAAAGAAGAATTAGATAATGACGCTCAAAGAATACGTAACAATATCAGTGCGTTAATGACAAAAGTGCAAGCCAAAGCAAACAAGGTTCGTCTTTTTGTTTACGTGTCTTCAGAACATCGTTTCATTTAACGCTTGTGATAATGTTAAATGATCTAATAATTTATCATCTTAATATTTTTGATATATTATAGCCTATGCAAGTAACACCACCGCCGCCACCACAGCATTCGCAACCACAAACATTACAACTACCAGCAACAGAACAACCACAACACGGCTTCTTTACCTCCTCAATGTTGAATGAATTCACAAATATAATATTATTCCCCTTCAATTTCGTACTAAATTTAATACAATCATTATATAGTTCAATTAATTGGACTATGTTATTATTTTGTGTATTATTAATGGAATTAATGATAATTGGTTTGATTTGGACGTAAGTTTCCTCGATTTTATCTATTTTAGCAAATTTCTTTTTTGTCACATGTTAATGAACCTTTGGTTTTTGAAACTACAGAGTCAAACGATCGCAACATATATATCTGTACGTTGAACCGTATGAGCCAGTTGTACATGGAACTTTTGGAGTCGACCAATCTATGTCCTTGGGAATAGTTTGGTCGGTCGTCAATTCGATAAGGGACTTTGTAGCAGAGGTGATGAATGGAGGTCGCGGGTTCGGCAGTCCAAGTTATGATGGCTTCGTGCCGATATAATGTTTTAATACAAATACTTAATAATGCATGAATGGGTTGACCTCCTTCATTACACTTATATATATATAATATAGTATATACATTTACAACGGGATAATTAATATTAATTTTATAGAAAAAAAAAATCCTTGGTATTTTTTTTTTTCCCTTTCCCTTTCCCTTCCCTTCTTTTCCTCTTTTTCACTTTGTACATATTGCTCCTCTTAGTTCCTTTTTTTTTTTTGTTTTAAAATTTTTTTTCTTGTACTTTTTTTTTAGACTGTTTTTATAATTTTTTCTCCTCTTCCCTTACCCTTTAATTTTCTTTCTTCATACACATCCACTTAATCTAGCACAAAATATTATATAAAACTGCACATACAACAACACATTTGCACATTAGTAAAAAAAAAAAAAACTTAACGCCATTTGCTAAAAAAAAATTTATATTCATTCCCATTACAATTAAAAATAATGCTCTTTGATTTCTTGATTGCACATATCAGCCCTTAATAAACTCGAAAACGTTGCTAATAATGCAACGAATTTCCCTACCGAGAAGAAATTCATACAAAATTGACTTTTATAATTTATTTTATTTTTTTGATTGATCGTCGAATGCTTTTTTTCTTACTAATATAATGAGTTGCTATTGGACGACAGGTGACGCAGTAATTTCGTTTGGTATGTATGTAATGGGGGGAGGGGATTTGATCTGCGATTTTTTTGATTTTATCAAATTTTAATTTTTTTTTATCTTGTAGGAATAGCGTAAAATGGTATATTCGTGTTTTAGACGCGTATGAACTAAGCAAGATTTTCCGATAATAATAATAATAATTATAAAATACAAACTTCGAAACAAATTTTCGAGATTGAAAATTACGTGTATTTCGCGTGAATAAATTACTAAAGTAATAAAAGATCGAGTTTCTTCTCCCTAAAATTCCTAGCCCGTACCTTAAATATCATGGTAATTGTGGTTTATCGAAGGGAGTAAATTGAAAAAGAATTAATACCAGTACACCTTCTTTATATTAGAATAATGTGAATGAGGGTCACTTAAATTCATACATTTATTTTTTTTCCTCAAGAGGCAAATTTTCTAATGATTTAATTTTATGTATTATATGTATATAACACGGTATATGTAAAGTGAAAATATATATTTAATATATATATTGATTGAATAAAAAATTGTTGAAATGAAAATTACGCGAGATGTTAATCAATGAATGTGTAGATTTGAGACGCGATATATTAAACTTATTTAGATGCGTTTAACCGAAAACAAATTATTTGTTTACTGTCGAAATCTTTTTAAATTAAAAAGTAAAATTAAAAAAAAAACCGATCGGTGCCGTGTAATCCTCGTGTTTAAAAGTGCATTGTTTGTTTTTTACTATAATTCAAGTTCGAGGTCAATTTTGTTAATGGCGGTAATTCAAAAGTGGTGACTTTATGTTTTTTTTTACCGATTTATCATTATCATAATTGTATATCGACTATATGATATCTAGATAGATCTAAGAAACAAAATCCGATTTGGTAATTAGCAATTTATTTTACACGTGTTTATTTGATAAGAAAAACAAACGGTAATCGGTGTAATTTCCCCATGGAGGCTCAAATCGATATTGATGTTACGGAAATTAAAAGATAAAATGTCAGTTAGGCGTTCAAGTGATAATTCTGAATTTTTGACCGATGATTTGCATATAGCATTTTTTCATGATATCTCATTTATCTCATTTCACACTCATTATACCTGTTGTAACTTGTAGGTGAATTTTTTTTATTTCAGGTTAAAATCCAATTTTTTGTTTATAGGATAAATATGTATAGTTAGAATAAATAAAAAAAAAAATTTGGTAATTCGAAATTAGCACAAGTATATTTATTTATTCTTTTATCTCTTTTATCCTTTTTTTTTTTTTTTTTTTTTTTTTTTTTTTTTTTTATTGTTTCCTTTTTTTTTTATAAAATTTTAGGTTAATTTTTTTTATATAATGATTTTAAAGTTTTTG